TTATGTTATTATGTATTATTATCAGTGTTTGCCTCTTAGGAAAATTAGTTGCTGGACCGAAAGTTCAGCCATCTTGAGAAGTAGCTGGCTCAAATGTCTGCCGAGTGGGAAAACTTCTCAGCCCATTCTGAAAGTTGTCAGCCCCGGGCAGACGGTCCAGCCTTAATTTCTAACACTGATTATTATGTATTCCATAAAATGACATTGCAAACAGCCAGCTATATCTTTGTACATGCACTAGTAGCAGATTTGCAAACTGGTTAAAAATATTGAAATAATAAGCACATCTTTTCTTAAAGGTTTTGTCCCATAGAGGTCAGCACTGGACCTTACTCCAGAACTCTTGTCGTGCTTTATGGAACTGCGCACACACTGCACTGATGCGCACACTATCTACCCGACAGCACGGAAGCAATGCAGGATCCCTGATTGGTATTGAACAGTTGCGGTCACTCTTGTGGCATCCTTTCTTCACTGCCACCGACTGCTTACTGGACATGCTGGAACAGATGCAGCTGGACAGGGAGAAACAGGCAGCCAAGGTAATATATTATATGTTTTAATGGACCTCTGTTCTTCTCTCTCTCTCTCTCTTTATTCCTTAATGCACATTCCTTTTGCCCTTTTTTCTTCCCCCTTCCTTCTAATATTTCTTCACTGTCAGCAGGAGTTACTTTATTAAGACAAATTAGCAAAAAACAGGTGGCTACACTGCTATTTGAAGCAAAGGTACATTTGGAAATCTTTTTTCCCTAGGACATATCTTGTTTGATATTAGAAAAACTGGTTGTTCTTTCATATTTGCCAGTACACATCAATTTGGCTTTAATCATTTAACTTCAGCAAGTAAAATTTTCTTAAATATTGTCCCTGCTTCTCCCCCTAGGCCAAAAGCAAGGGCAAAGCACCAGATGAGGAGCCCACGTTTTTTGGCTATCAACCAGAGGAAAAAGGTGGTGCCCATCTTAAGTTTGAATCCCCCTTGGATAACCTGAGTACGGTGGATGCCCGGTGGGTCAGGCGCATCGTAGAGAGGACCATAGAGATACTGTACCATGAGGGAAAGTGGGAGAGACTGGTGGATGTCGCCCTCAGGTTCAATGCATTGACAAAGTGAGTTCAGATAAGTTTTGTCATTGTTTGTGAATGCACAGAGTGAGTCCTCAACCTTTTATGTAATTTTTTTACCTTGAATGGAAAATTCAACTCCAAGTTCAAAAGCACATCTTGCTTAGCATTTCGCCAGTTTGTAAGTTAAAGAGTGACTGATGATGATCTTGCTTCGCATTTCGCCAGTTTGTAAATTAAAGAGTGACTGATGATGATCTTGCTTAGCATTTCACCAGTTTGTAAGTTAAAGAGTGACTGATGATGATCTTGCTTAGTATTTCACCAGTTTGTAAGTTAAAGAGTGACTGATGATGATCTTGCTTAGTATTTCACCAGTTTGTAAGTTAAAGAGTGACTGATGATTGGCAGCAGGTTTTATGTGCAGTACCTATATCTTTTTTTTTTAACGTGAAAAATTAGAAAAAAAAGAAAGAAGAAAGACATTTACTAAGCTTGCCCTATACTTGGAAAAAATCAGAAAAAAAATAATTAAAATTCGCTAAAAGTGGCCTTTCATAAAAACAGTGAGTCACCACCCTATGTTTTCTATCTTATACAGTGACAGATATGCGGAGCAGGTCATCCCTCTCCTAGTGCAGGCACAACGACAGCTCCGTGACAGACTGGAGGAGATCAATGCACCATCCTACCCACAGGCGCACTTCCGTAAGATTCTGAAGGAGCTCGGGGGCACAATGACGGCCAAGGACTNATTTCACCAGTTTGTAAGTTAAAGAGTGACTGATGATGATCTTGCTTAGTATTTCACCAGTTTGTAAGTTAAAGAGTGACTGATGATTGGCAGCAGGTTTTATGTGCAGTACCTATATCTTTTTTTTTTAACGTGAAAAATTAGAAAAAAAAGAAAGAAGAAAGACATTTACTAAGCTTGCCCTATACTTGGAAAAAATCAGAAAAAAAATAATTAAAATTCGCTAAAAGTGGCCTTTCATAAAAACAGTGAGTCACCACCCTATGTTTTCTATCTTATACAGTGACAGATATGCGGAGCAGGTCATCCCTCTCCTAGTGCAGGCACAACGACAGCTCCGTGACAGACTGGAGGAGATCAATGCACCATCCTACCCACAGGCGCACTTCCGTAAGATTCTGAAGGAGCTCGGGGGCACAATGACGGCCAAGGACTATGCTCAGATGCAGATCAGGGTAGAAGTCCAGAAAGACCAGTTGCCCGCCATCCACCCTGGGGCTCATATTGACCCTGAGGGTCACCAAGTGTATCAAGGTAGGGAAGTTTACTGTTACACAGCATATGAATATGCATGCATGCTCCCATGCGTATACCTGGTACATTTTCTAGTACTCATGTGCGAATACCATTGCATGTGCATATGCATCTCTATCCCTAGTAGTATTTTATGAGGGGTTCATCAGTGACCCAATTGACAAACAGAACCATTTATATTCAGGTATGAAACTAAATTCAGTATAAAAAAATGATCAAAAATAGTACATTGCATGATAGCTCTCAGCCCCCCTTTTCCTCTTCCAGGTCTTTTTTTCTTCATAGTATCTCATCTTATCTGGTTTTTACTTTCATGTATATTTATATTCATGGATGTGTTTGGGGATGCATGATTGCACTACAAGCAGTTAACATTAACCTTTAGTGTTTAATAAAGAGATCATTTTTCTTTGAAAATTGTAGTGTGTCTTGTCCCAAGAGGTGGAAAAAATTATTATGAGCAATTTTACAAGACTACCAAAATAGGTGCAAGTTTAATAAATAACTTTATCCCAAACTTTTGCTGAAACTGATAGATCAGAATTCTACTTTATTGTAAAATAAAATGAAATACTGCCCCTGTTTTATAACAAGGGAATAACATTCCAGGCCAGTGTATACTTTAAAATTTATCTAATCGGATTACTGTGTATTAATCTTGAACTACAGTAAGCCATAATTTTGGTTTAAAAGCTTAGAACAATGTTTGGCCAAGATTATTTTGTGGAATCAGGCTTGATGCCTGTAGATCTA